TTAAGATGCAGATATTTGTTTATATGAAAGTGTAACTTAGCTAACAGAATTGATACTAATCTTTACTAGATTGTCTCCCAAAGCTGCTGAAGATGCGTAAATATTGAAGATAATGCATGATTCCAAATTAATGCTGATTCTTTAAGTACGCTAAATTATACTCAGTTTGACTTCATCTAAATACTAATTAAACGTTGTCAGACTGTTGGGCAAATTATTATTCCGCTTTTACCTTTAAACCTAGATGGTAAGAATAACAACAATAGCGTAATGAAATCAAAGTAGAAACATTTATTTGCACACTTTTTTCAGCTAGATAGAAGTTAGAGGGATTAAAGCGTTCTTAACTGCCGCTTATTGCCTCCTGGATAGTCAGGAGTGATAAAAGTTATTTACAAAGGCAAACTTTAAATTTAAACCTAAACACCTGGTCTCGCTATTCCACGAGTAGTAACTGTTTTAACCAAAGAAACCTACCAGCTCGTAGCACCAGCTTTAAAATCAGGCAGTAACAAAAGAGTTTCACCACTGCAGGTTATATATTGTCAACTCTCTTGCTTCTATTAAAAACACAAATTTTTATATAATCTGGTAAATTTTCTGAAACAGTGAAATTTCAAGAAAGACTCAACATAAGAAATAACGTGTTGTTTAAAATTCCTTTTGGACGTTTTGCAAAGCGTGTTTTTATTTAGCACAACGCGTTGAGTGCCACAGCAAAATCAGGTAAAACACTCTATCGAGTCAGTTTTTAATTCTAATGTTTTGTTGCCCCAGTTACTTAAAATTAATTCAATACATACTTTTAATTTCACATACATAATAATTACTTAAAAGTTACTGCAGCAAAATATACATTAAAATCATATAACAATTTATAAAGGAAAGCTTCCCAAAGCCGAAAACCAAGAGTATGAAGAAAATTTCCGAGGTCATAGAAATGATTTTAACCGTATGAATCTATGTCTTTGTGAAGCATCGCTGACTCACACGGCTTCAAACAACACAAAACCTGAGAATCACATTCGATGCAGACGGCTCCGAAAAATGAGGCCGCTATAAACCATCGGTGATGCACATATTAAAATAGGTTAAAAATAAAGGTATTAATTAAAAGAGGTAATATATAATATATACGCTATAATTTTTTTAAGAAAAGTCTTCATTTCCGCAAATTGCCAAATTATTTCACATTATTCATGTGAAATTAAAAGTAATGATTTTTAGGTAATTAAGATTAATAATAATTTTAGATAATTAAGATATTTCACATTATTCATTAAAATGTAATAAGTAATGATTTTAGATAATTATTCAGTAAAATGTGTTAAAAATGATTTAAGTAAGGATTTGCTGGCAGAGATGTTGTTTTTTTATATAACGATTATCGTTCGATATTAGTAAGAAAAGGTGTCCGTAATTTAGAAAACTTTTCTCGTTCCCAAAGCCATTCCTCACCAAAAAAGCTTCCGAAGGTGAATGATTTCAATAAACGTTTTTCCCGGTTTTTCATAGTAAATTTCATGAATTATAATTTTTTTAAAAATTTTCTTAAATCTGATAATTTTTAAAGTGTTTCTTTAATTTCTTAAATTCATAGTTTTCATAGGTTTCTTAAATTTTTTAAATTTCATATTCAGTATCTAAGTTATACGATTTAAAGTATATTTAATTTACGGAATGCCCGAATGATAATTTTCAAGTGCATTTGCATTATTATTGCAAATAATAAAATATTTATATCACAGCTTATAATTTACCTTTGTATGAGTCGTTTAACAATTCTAATGTATCTAAACGGAACCTATTTCATTTTCCCTCATGTGTTCTAAATAAAATGGGATAGAACGACGGCTTCTTTGCCGTTAGAGTAGATCAACTGGATGTTGCGGCTCTCACCTGTCGTTGTATAAATAATGAAAAATATAAGGTACTATATTATTTTTCCATATGTGCTCTCGCAATATAATTAGGAAGCTAGGAAGCAGATGATTCTGCTAGGAAGAATTGTTCTGCTAGGAAGCAGATTATTCGTGGATATAGTCCTGACAAGGTCGCGGTAATGTCTTAAGTTTTCTAACTCCAAAAATACTTCATGCTTTTAAATGTATTTAATTTATAACCTATATAATGTATAATTTTAAGAATATTTTCAGTGACTTCTTTAAGAACGAATGATGTTTTATCACCATAGTTAACGGACATAATCTGCTTTTAAGAATTCATGAAATGTTGTATAAACATCGCGTATATAAAAGTGTCCCTTCCTCATTATTTATAGTGCATTTGAATTCATAAGAGACTGCTAACAAAAGAAGCTAATTTTATCACTAATTGCTGCTCATTCAAAAGATGTGTGGTGTCTAAAAAAGGGCTGAGTGCTTTCAAAATCGATCTTTCACTGACTTTTTCTATAACAGGAAAAACACAGATGGAGAAGCCCAACTTTCTTTACGTAGGAGGTTTACCACATTTTTAATAAAAATATAATTTCTGCAGGTTTTTATGGCTGCAAAAAAGCTCCGAAGACGACATCAGGAAGACGACACGCATTGAAAAGTACAGAGTGCGAGGTATGGAATGCACGAATTTGTATTTGTAATCACTCGTTCATTGTCTGGTATATTAATATCAGTAATTGAATCTACTCTTCTCCTAAATATTGCCGGATCAGAACTGTCGGTATTTTGTTGGTCTTCCTGGAAAATTATTCTTGAACATATGTGCCATTTTTATCGATCTGAACGAGCTTAAGGGCAAATTTCCGCTCTGATACTGGATGGACGTAACACCTTGTCATAGGCTACCTCGAAGACGTTCTAAATTTTTTGTTAGATGTGGTACAGTGCGTGCGCCAAAATTTGCACTTTCCTTTGCTTATTGTTCTCTTGAAAGCTGCCTATATGGAATTTAATGATAAACTGCAATCTTTTATCTGAATCATGATGTTTCTGCATTAACTGCCTCAATGGCGTCACCCTTTTTCGTCCACTATCTAGTTATAAGACACCACCAAAGGTTTCTTCTTACTACAGAACTTTATCGCACAACGAAAAATTTTGTTTATTAAACTGCGGAGGGTTTCCAGGTCTTACTCATTCTAACAGCTTTGTAGTAGGTTGTATGTAGTAGGAAATGTAGTAGGTGACATTGCTACTATAAAAAGGAAAGTAAGATAATGCTTTTATATTGTATAAGAAAATTAATGTATTTCAACTGGAAATGTATCTTTCAAAACGATAGAAGACTGTCCGTTTCTAAACAAATTATTTGTTTTTGCCACTAGCAGTTTACCATCCGCTTCAAGCATAAATGCGGCACAAGGTAAAGACTACTTCGGGTCAACATCACCTTTGCGACTTGCTCACTTGTAACAACACTTACACTGACTGACATACGGACATCGACACTGCATGAGATCGATATCGGGATGGCAATGATACCGCTTAGAATCTATGCTGCAATAGTCGACACTAGATAAGTCATTACTGACAAAGAATAGAAAACGTTTATAGCTAGTAAAAGCGCATAATGAAGCATGTAAGAGTATAATAAAAATATTAATTATAAATCACCTGCACAGGATCGAAATTGGTATAGAATCGAAATCGGTATTTGAGCTGCTATATCGATCTTGTGTCGCAAAGGTGATGTTGACCCGAAGTAGTCTTTACCTTGTGCCGCATTTATGCTTGAAGCGAATGGTAAACTTCTGCTAGTGGCAAAACAAATAATTTGTTTAGAAATTTGTTAGTCTTCTATCATTTTGAAAGATACATTTACAGTTGAAATCTTTCATCCTAAAGCCAAAACATTGATCCTCATAGTATAGTGTTAATTTAGTCAGTAAAGTATTAGTTAGTTTAGTCAGTAAAAATCAATTTTGAAGACAGCTGAGAAACCCTCTTCACCCAGCGGAGATCTTCGGGTTGAAATCCGTCTACTGAGAGAAAATGGAATTGTTTTATCATGAGATCTCCTTATGAAGTATTGAAACCTTCGTCAAGTGAACCACTGTTTAATTTTATAATGTTAGCCCACCATCGCCAGTGTTGACAATCTTAAGCAGACAAGTTTCTATCTTGGAGAAATCAAACTTCATGAAGTTGCGTTCAATTTTAGGCTGAGGCAGGACGGTTATAATTACGGTTATAGTTTGAGACCCTGATTAAGAAAACAAATGGAAGTTTTACTTGTATAGTGTTAAGACTGTTAAAAGGGCGGATACTTTTATAACAGGATAAATTTTATGAAGGAATTCCGAAGAAGATAATCAAAACGGATCATCATAATTTTAAGAAATATTGCAGAACAATCGATGTTTAAATAACTTGCGTTTGCTTCTGATAGCAACGTAAGTAGTAACAGAGGTTTATAAAATGAGTTAATGTCAGTTAATAGTGAGCTTGTAAGGATTATGTTAATTATAGGATTATGTTAGTCAAATTTTGAGTTAAACTTCCTTGCCTATCGCTTCCTAAATTCAACTTACCACTTACTAATTTTAGAATCACGTCTGAATGTAAATTGAGGAGGAGCGGTATTTAACCGCGAAGTTCTACTGTCTTAGTGGAAGAGATACCAGATATTCTGGCTAGCACGCATCAGCCTTTTTAGGCTACTCTCTCTTAAGCTATTATTATGCTCGCCGTATTTTAGGCCCTTGATAGCTGCGAAGTCAATTAGCGTTAAGGGGCCAACTCAGTTAGAATCTTAATAGCTTCGACTATATCTCTTTAGTTAAGATTGGTTTAGTTTAATTCTTAGTTCTTAAGTTCAAGCCCGAGTGTTGGCTTTATTGTACAAATGCAAGACGGAGTTCTATTAAATCTTATTTGAATAATAAAGGGTCTTTTAACCCTTTACAAGTTTATTTACTGTCTCACGAACTCAAGCGATTATTCGCTTACTAGTTCTTAATATTCCTAACATTGAACTGCAGCTTAGAATTACACAGTGGGGAATCGTAAAAGCTACACTACAATATATTGATATCTTACCAGATGAAGATGATGGCAGTGGTTTTCTTGCTGGTATTGGGTCCTCCAAATAGGTCCCAGAGTGTGTATCGAGTTTCAGTTCCATTTTTCCTCCTTTCTTCGAGCAGAGATGCTTCAATTCGAAACCGCCTCTATGAAAAAAAAAATGAAATATTTTGCTCATTCGTTTCCAGATTAAGATTTAAATTAAAAATTTTTCAGATAATCTAAAACTGCCAAGTTTTCTTCGGTTGCATTAAGCATGCATTTCTCGTAAAAAATGAATTATGAATTAATACCACGTGTCTACTTCAGCTAAACTAAAGGTATCTATCATCTTCAGATACAGATACAGCAGGGCAACCTCACTACTGCAACTTGCACGACCTTATAATTCCATTCGGTTGAGACATTAATTTTCTAAGAGCATTAGATTGTTAGAATCTCGAAGGTTTTGGATATGCAATTAATCTGTCGTTCTCAGTTGATCTTAGTTGAGTCTGCAATTTAACAGCGTAGCCCCAAGAGCGATAAAATACTTTATTGTGTCAAATGCAAGCGATTACTGAATATTTGCAGGGTTTGAATATGACCGAATAGGCTGGAAAACTACTATTGCTTTAGTTTTCGCGGAGTGAAAAGTGAAGAGAGCTTGTTTATTGAAAACATTTTCCGCGCAGTTATAGGCAAGTGCCTGCCATTGGGGGAGGGGATTCTCCGAGAGGGCACTATCCATTAGCCATCAGGAAAACCAATGGTCAGAGTTTGCTCCGCTGTGATTAGGAGTTATTATACCAACTTGGCATAAAGTTGAAAAATTAGAACTTTAATTAGAAATCCTTAAATTAGTTTTTGTGACGCAGCAAAGTCTGGTTGCTAAGCAGCAAAGCTCGGCTAAAACCTGTCATGACTAAAACAACCGTGTGAATGAAGTTTTAATTACTTCAATAGTCTTAGCAGACTGTTGCAACTTCATTGCATTCAAAGTGTTCATGAATTCTTGCCATAATTCTATTGTACGAATATATTGAGTTGCATGAATTCCTGTCTAAAAATTAATTCTTCATATAATAATTATGATCTGCAAAGAAATTACATCTTCAAACTTCCAGGAACTATTTTAAATATTTAGGTGAAACTATAACAGTTTCTAGGCCGCAACAGTTTCTAGATGTATTTCAAAATCTCCTTGAAAATGTTAAGACTTTAGCGACAAGATGTACCCTTAATGCATTAATAAAAATGGAGCACGATTATGCATTATTATCCTATATTACTGCAATTATATGTGTCTAGACGTTTAATTGAACGAAGGGAATATAAAACGTTAATGTTTTACCCTAAATTTCTACTTTCTATACGGAAATATCACTTTTTTATGGAAAAACTACCGATTCTTAGTGGAAGAATTATTGGTTTTTTCATTATTTTATAATAAATAACTGAATATACTGATTATATAATCAAAAATTGATTTCTCTTCGAATAAGAAACCATTTTTTATTCAGATATTTAAGAAATACTAAGAAAATCCAATAAAACGTTTCGATGCCAGTAAATATTTCAAGCTAAAAGAAATTCATTTTAAACTGTGTTAAAAAAGTAAAATTTTTTCTTTTATACTAATAATAAAGATAACTTCTCGAACTCTTGAAGCGTTGACATGAATACTTTTAATGTGAGCGCCATTTCCTAAGCAAATAGTTTGGGACCCAATGATCGAGTAGTTAAAACCGCTAAAAAGTGGCAATTAGATTCGAGTTCGGATTCCGACGAGCAGGATAGAATTCAAAAGCCAAGAGACGGGGTTTTCCTGACTTCCACCATGTATAATGTAAAGATCAATTGTCCTTAGAAAATCTCTCACGAAAGCGTGTTTTCTCGTAAGCATATAGCCCCTGTATGCTTTATATTTTCATATTTACAGGCTTTTGTCAGCTATGCGTTGATTTTTAAGTATATTTTGGATGATAAGTTGCATCTGTATTTCATTTCAAAGACACTGAGAGATTAAAAATGAACTATCTTTCTTGTGAATTGCTTTTTTCAATAAATTTTTGATTCATATAATATTCCTCTTTTCAAAAGGTTTTTAGAAAATCTATATCATTTGCGTATGATTCGATAATCATCTGATAATATAAAGACTATAAAATAAACCATCGGATAATATAAAGACTATAAAATAAACCATCAGGTAATATAAAGACTATAAAATAAACCATCAGATATTATAAAGACTTAGACATCAACGCAGAAGGCCGACATAACATCTCTTAGTAGTCATTTTAGACATCTGGAGAGTGATTCGCATATGATATCATTCAACAAGCACTGCTGAAGCAGACTAATAACAGCAATTTTTTTACCAATAAGACATTACATTGGATGGAATTAGAGAACTTCAGATGATGCAAGCCTCAATTATAATAGTTTATTATTATTGCAAATTCATCAATTTATTTCAAATTAGTGGCTTTTGGCACTGAAGCAGTTATCCGTTTGCATCTTGATCATTGCTCATCGCCACAGATCGCGAGTTTACATACGTTAATACCATATCTTATTGCAATAGTTCTGTTGGTACAATAAAATATTGTGATGATGTTTTCCGATTGAATTGCCCTTCTCGTTTCCGCATCTGAATCTCACTGAGCATGTGTAAAATCTCTAAGGAGCCGTCTTGTTAACGCATCCACCAATAAGTTCCGAGACTGAAACTTCTACAAAATGCAATTCATATCAAAAATTTGACATTGACAAATTTGAAAAGAATTGACAAAAATGACATTTTAAAATTCAGAAAATAGTAAAATTGAGCTGCATCACCAAATGTCATATTTACGCTTTATATTTTCATATGTACAGGCTTTTGTCAGCTATGCGTTGATTTTTAAGTATATTTTGGATGATAAGTTGCATCTGTATTTCATTTCAAAGACACTGAGAGATTAAAAATGAACTATCTTTCTTGTGAATTGCTTTTTTCAATAAATTTTTGATTCATATAATATTCCTCTTTTCAAAAGGTTTTTAGAAAATCTATATCATTTGCGTTAAACTTAAAAAAAATTTAATTTGAATATTAAAATACGTTAACATATTCACTGTAGAAGAAATGTATGAAGTAACATAATGCAGGACAGCATAGCTTGTGTCTATAAGCAGGCTCTTTCAACCATTCGGCCTTATGTCCTTCGTTGAACAAAATGTCTTTTTGTAATCAAAAGTGAATTTCTGCCAAACCGTAACTACGTGTTTTGTGAGATATTTCAATATATGTCCCTCACTAATCTTTCTAAGCCAGATGGTTCTGTGGAGTCAACATTTTCAGACATATAAAGCTAACTAAAACAACGCAACGGTCAGTCCATGACAGATGTTATAAGGAGCATTCCGCTAGTTCGCTCTAGAGATGTTAGGCGTGCTGGTGGAGCAAGTGTGAAAGATTTATATAATGTTACATCTAAAGTAACTTGATATTATTTTGTTGCATGTGAAATAAAGTCAACATGCACGTATTCTTCGGGAGCAGTTTGAGTAAAGCATTAAAAAAACCCACGTTTGTTTGAATGATATCAAAAACTGAACTTTTACAATTTTCATTGAACTTAATTTACTAATTTAACCCGTTGTCTATTCGCATTTAATTCGTAAATCCAGATTTTACTACAGATATTCGTTAATAGTTGTATTAAACGGTGTCTTATGTAGGACACATTATTTCAAAAAATTAAAAGAGAATGATGAGACTTACCTTCATGTTGATGATATATTCTGGAGTCAGCTCCCTTCCGTTCGCTTGAGCTATCACTTCGAAGATCCTGCCTATCTCCTCGTATCGCCCTTTGTCCTTCAGCCAATCAGGTGACTCTGGAAATACCCTGACCAACTGCTGGATTATTGCATATGCTTGAAGGAATACATTCTTATAACATTTTACCATACATATATGTAATGCGATTCGATAAAAATTATGCTTTGACTATTAACAAACTGCTGTTTGAAATCTAATATTGAATGTTTGCAAATAATTCTACAGCAAGCTGTATTATATAATATGCTAAAGCTTATATGAATTGCATACTGTCGGGTATTTAAAATTCATAGCAGGAAAGAGCATTTTTTGTGCGTAGCAATAAATTCATTTGCACACCTTTAAGTAAATCAATGCCTTAGATTTAAAACATGGAGCAATTTCTTCAGTGTTCAGTATATTTGCTACGAAGGGTCATAAAGTTCCTGAGAAATATTTGCTCCTCCTTGGCATACATATTTAAGAAAGATAGTGTCAGATAGGCGAGAATAAAAACATTAAATTTCAAATTCCCTTATAAAAATATTTTCTTCATTTACTGGAAGATGTCTCTCTCTGTATAGCAACATTCAGTAGCCCTCATTAAATTTCCCAGATTTTTCTGCATTGACGTTTTATGGACATGCAAATTTAGGTTTATATTTCTCCTTCGTCTGATATTTACAACTTTACAAGTACAGGTTTCCAGGAAGCAGCGAAAGTTGGTAGGACAATGTAAGTCGTGTTATGATAAGTGTATAAGAGAAACGGCAGCTATTACTTGGTAGTCAAGCAAAACATCTTGAAAACATTGTATTGAACATGTAAGGTTGTCTTGTGAATCGAAGGTATTGAATTACGCAACCTATATAATACATATGAAGTATATTTTACCCTATATAGTATGCTCTGGAATATTTTTATTTTACTTATTAGTTAGCAGAAGCTTAATAATACACTAACGTGTTTTTGTCTCTTAGATATTACAAGAGTGGCCCTATCAAAATGATCTTCTCGACCTTAGGTTACACTTGAAAGAGAAAGTATAAAATCAGCTTTTGCTATGATAACCCAGGGATTCATTTTTTTAACTTTAAGGCTAAAATTGCTCCTCCCACTGATTCACACCAAGTCGAAATTTCTTAGAAGCTTCCTGAAATCTTTGTGTAACTATCTCCACGAATGCTTATTTTTTGTCTAGTTCCTATCCCGTATGTCCACCTTCTTCCTTTTGACCACTGATTCGAATTCCGCATGAAGCATTACACTTCCTACTTTGTTTCCCGAAGCAGCAAGGCTATACATAAAGTAGTTTCCAGAATAGTGATAATGTTTTCTTAATTGAACTAATTTTTAATTTGAATTCCTTCATTTGCTTACTTTGTAGCACTGTACTTCGAACATATTCCCTAGCATAAAATATATTTTTCGTTTATCAGTGATAATTTGTTCGCTATTTTTTGCTAATTTATGTATTAAACTTCATTAATTTTTTACGTAACATCATAGCTTGAGACGTACCTACTCTCTAGTCCATTGGCTGGCCAGGCCTTTTATATACGGCATAGAATACATTTTGTAACCTTTTTAAGAGTGTATATATACGTACATCTTGAAATATGTCCAAGAAATGTTGGCAATATATATAATGCCCATAACTTCAAGTGTAAAATATCAGTGGCCTTTTCGTATTAAACCGAAGAAAAAATCTCTTTCTCATGGCAGTTTTGGAAAATTTGGTATTTCTAAACAAAACTCTTGAACACTTGCCGGGCTATTAGAAAGTAATATTGCCTAGACATTGATAATTATTTTTTAAACAGATTGCATCTATACCCAAAATTTATCCGTAGATTTTCTATAAAAGGTTTACTTTGATTCCTTTGATTTTTAATTCTAAACAATTGTCCGTTATTATTATTTGCTAGCTATACTGTAGGCTATATTTGTATGCATTTCTCTACAAGCCGAAAAATATTTGTTCGCCGTTAGGTTTTGAACTTGGGGGTAAATACTGAAGAAAATTTATAATTGAATTTGTCCTAAAATTAGGGAAAATATAAAGTTAGGTTAGCAAACTATTTTTGCTTCTGAAGATGAGGGACATATATTTGAACCCCTCGAGCTCGATGGCGTTTGATTCAAAACATATACACCTCTGTAGAAAGCTTCTATTTTAAAGTTCTACATTGAGGTATTTTAAGTTCTGTATTAATGTGATTTTAATTCAATTAATTAATATTATTTAATTAATCTATAATTTAATTAAATGATGAACTATATATTAAATGGTTGATTTCTTAACACTTGGCATGAGGGTATACTTCGCCGCCAACTTGCGCGTGCAGCGAGCGTTTTTCGTGAATCGCGCGGAAGTATGGTTATTCAGGAAAATCGCAGTAAATCGAAAACTACTTCGTTTTTATGAACGAAACTTTTTTTTTTTATTTTACACTTAAATATATACTGTATGATTATTTAACAAACAACAAAAAAAAAAAAAAAAAAAAAAAAGAAAAAAAAAAGATATTATTACGAAATCACAAAAATAAATGATTTTAAAAATTTTACAATGTATTCAAAAACACTTTTTCATAACACGTGCATCTTTACAGTATGGTACCGTTCGAAGCATTTTCCTCTATGAAGAGGAACACGGCAGAGGCTACATATGAAACACGTTTCACTTCGCACTTTTTTGACTGCGCACACGCGACATTGTCTTTGTGGATTTTTCTTCTTCTCTTCACCAACAATTTTCTCCAATACGTGTTTTTGCGCATATCCATGGAAAATCTTCCAGGAGGGTCGCGTTTTGATATCATTTGCTTTGGTTCTTCAGTGCTGATTTCAGGTAGTTCATCAGTAACCCAATGTCGTGCGATGTCGTGCAAAAATTTCTTGTATCTTATTTTTTGCGTCTTTGTCGAATTGTATACTATATATGCATTGAAAAATGCACAATTCATCATATGCATAGCTAAGCGCTTTGTCCACTTCACTGTTTTACGAAAAACTATAGTAGGACAAATACTGATCGGCCCGATCTACTCCTTTCATGTACTTGTAGTTGATCAAAGCAGTTGGCTTTGTGATTTTTTGTCTCTTGGTACAATCACCATTACTGCTTTCTTTCATTTCCGTAGAATGGATTGAAGAGATGAGACTGACTTCTTTCTTGGATTGCCAAACTTGTATCAATATATAATTTTTTATTCGAAAGATTGTTTCTCCTTTTTTCAGGCACTCTGGTAGACCTCTATTCTTCCTAATTGTTCCGCAAATTCGTATTTTCTTTCTTTTTTTTTTTTTTTTTCTTTTTTTTGTAAAAGGGCTTCCGTGTTATCGACGCTGTTGTAGTAATTGTCCATGTACAAATGGTGTCAGACAGAAGTATATGGCGAAACTACTGTGAGTATCGTTTCGATCAAACGTAATCCTTGAGCTGCATAAACTTCAAAATTGTAAATATAACCAGTGTCACTTTCAGACAATATTCGTATGATTATGCCGTATTTTTATAATTTTTCCAGCGTTGTAAACTCTAAAAGACAATCGTCCTCTCCAAGGTATTATGCCCTCATCTAACGATACTTGTTGTTTCGGTTTGTAAATGCTATTGAATTTTTCAACAAAATAATTTAGTATAGGCCTTACTTTGAATAATCCATCAGAATCGTCCGTGATGTCTTCATTGTTATTGCAATGCCAAGCCTTCCATATTTGGCGAAATCTATCCCTTGACACAGTTTTTGAAAAAAAAAAAAAAAAAGAAACAGTGCACTTTCGCAGACATCAGTTGACCAACAATTGTCTCCGGCGTCTTTACGAACTTGTCCCATGAAAATAATAAGCCCCCAAAATTTCTTCATCTCGGGAATCGTAATAGCTCTCCATTTCATGCTTTTGGGAGATATTTTGAACTGATTCATATTTTGATAATAATATCTGTTTGATTCCGCGACTAAATATGCAAAAACATCATCGCCTATAAATAACTTTACTGCATCAGCTGTGGATTCAGGAGCATTAGCCATGTTAGTTATCCCAGGATGACCCAAAATCTCTTCAAGGTCTGGAGGATTGTCAATCGATGACCATTCATCTGTTCCTTCATCAGAAGTTGTTTCAGAATTACTAGAAATTCTTCTTCGGACGAACACTCGAGAACGTGGAATAATGTCATCATCGTCACTTTCTTCGATATCTTGAATTTCAGAATCACTATCATACTAAAAGTCCAATAATCTGTCAGCGCATACTTCTTCATCATTATCTTTATCACAACGGTTCATTTTATCAATTTATTTAATCAATAATAAAAAACCAAACTTCAAATTGACAAAACACGACTTGTACTTTCTGAAGCTAAGAGTTCGATTGAAGAAGAAATAACTCAACAAAAGACCAAGTAACTCGACAATCATAACTGGTTGAAAGAAAAAAATGCAAAGCGTTGCCTAGCAACGAAAACAACACCCATATAATGTCACACATACATATAATTATACGTATTTGATAGATTTGTGGTGGTTAGCGGGTATCCACCACAAATCTAATAAATACGTATATTTACGTGACCCGCGCTCCAGTGACAGACTGCAAAAAATGTAAAAATACGTTGAGAGCATGCCATACATATTTTTACGTGACCCGCGCTCCAGTGATAAACTGCAAAAAACGTAAAAATACGTTGCCCGCATGCCAAGTATTATATCGGTTATTTTTTTCTCGGTTTCAATAGCGGTTATTTTTCTTTAAAGATAGAATTTTCAGTTATAAAAAGTTACGATGCGTTTTCATTTAACTGAAATTTAGAGGCACAAATATAATTATGTTTGTTAATATAGGTCTAATAATAAAAGTATTTAGTTACTATAGAATGTATAAATATGGTGAATATGAGTAGTTTATGCATATTTTACTTGATGTTTCATAACAAAATTTCATAAATCACTGCATTCGGTTAATTCATTGTTAACTTCTTCATTTTATCAAAAGAAAGAAGTTATCAATGAATACTTTAAGAGTATCTAGGAAACGAGCACTAGTAATTAACCTATTAAGTCGATATTTTGGTAAAGGAATCAAAACGATAGAAGAAAGATTCAAAGAAGATATTTAGAGATAGATGTGGGAAGACGCTAAATTAAATACTAAATAATTTTCTTCCACATATATTAAGATATATGAGATCAGGAGGCTCGACTGTACATTAAAATTAATGCATGTACAGAATTGAAACCTTCTTAGTCCGTTTGAATCATCCTATATAAAGGTAAGAAATCGTTTCCTGCAGATTCATTATTTGTAATAGCAATAGCTGTTAGACAGACCGATGCTCTGTTTGCTTCCTTCTGCAGCAGTTTTCAGGGATATGATATGAAACATATTTATATTTCGTGTAAGTGCACATTTTCCTTTTTCCTAAACTGCAACGGTCAAATTCCATACCATTGTTTTCCAACTGCAGATCCACTCTAGCCAGTATTTACAAAATACACTATTGGCGTCAGTGGATATAAGAATATTACGATTTTTACCTTAACTTTTTAAAAATATATAATTGTTATTTACTGATAAAAAAATCTTCATATTTAATTTACACAGTTTAATAAGTAATTTTTCCTAGGATATGGATAATAATGTGCACTACTAACGATAGGATAGCGGAATATAATATTGAAGAAAATAAATAACAATAATCAGAATGTGTGTTAGTCTATAAAAGTGTGTTAGTCTAAAATATATATATATATATATATATATATATATCTTTTAATGAATTCTTTATTCTTATTAGACACAGTACACATCGCATAAACTGTCTGTGATTTAGAATTACATTTTTATTAAAACATGTTGAAAAATACGAAAATAAATAGGCATTCGACAGCATCAAAAACAAACTGTCAACCCGCGAAAGCAGTTACAGTTAATTCCTTTTGGTCCTCCTGCTGGCGTTTCTACCTTCATATAAAGTTCATTGTATCGGAGTAGAGCCTATTTTACTATTCACTGCCGGAACTTTCATCTGGAAGCTCGTGGGAAAATACAACCGGACAAACCCCTAGATGAGACTTCTGACCGCTTGTCTGATCGAGTTTTCCCATTTGTTTTCGTTTTTCTTTTTTTCTTTGCTTTTGAACGAAGTGTGTGAAAAGATTTCTTAATAGTTACAACTCAAGTAGGAACCTGTTAGCATGTTGCAAGGGAATTCTTCTAGCACCTATGTTAAAATTTTGTAGACTTTTATTCGCGATTCAAAACATCTCCAGCTGAAAGGTTTAATGTTGAATTCGAATTGTGGGAAAGATACCAAGAATGTTGTCAAACTCGTTGCAGAGATACTTACCACCAATACAAGAAGAAAGCGAAGAAGGGAAGTGTGGTGACCAGAGCAATGTGAGCCCAGTCCCGCACCAGGAAGGCCATGATGGATAAAAACACGAGACCCATGCTGCGGGCAGATTGGCTAAGAACAGACACTTGATTTCTGTACTTTGGACCCACCAGCTCTTGGGCTGAAAAAAAAATGATTAGCAGTTACATTCAGTTTGTTATTTTAATCAGTGAAATCGAAAGGCACAGGAATTCGGTGTTTATATATCATAGAATATTCATATGATTGTTATATCGGCTACGATTTTTGAGAATAGATCTGTTTGCATCTTACATTTGCTCGTCTAATAAGATCAGAAATATCCTTAGCGAACTCTTCGTAGAATGTTTAAGAGTTATGTTACATTTACCCAAGTTATTAATAATTTGTCATTCACACGGCCTAGCAACTATTGCCAACACATGAAACAATGGCACCGTCTCACACCGTTGACTGTCAACCTACAAGACACTGGGGATGAAAGTTCTAGATAGCCATTATACTCTTTGCTTTAATTTTATTTTAACAATATATCTAAATTCAGTCCACTGCCTCATATGTCGGTAAGAATCAATCGATAAATTAGCGGTGACCAACAACTTTGATATTCACATCCGATTTAATTTTATTCAAATAACCTTCCAATTTGTACAATGCTAAACTAAGTTAATGTGGCTAAATAATAATTTTTACAGACATGAGCGGCGTTATTTTAATTACTGAAGGATATTTAATAGCACCCTAATATTACGTACTGGGAAAGATTCTTTAAACTTTTTAATCATTGTAGTGCCTAATAGTTTTTACAGAAAGAAAGATGTATGTGCTAATATTGCTTATAAATCACCATTCAATGAAATGTGATGTTCTTAAGTTTTATTACATTATTACTGTTTTTTAAAGCAAGCAATATCAACAAAAGTTTTGAAGTGTCAGTTTTGTCTTTCTGTTTCGTCTTCTTTTTATTTATTTAAATAACTAAAAGAGTCATCTATACTATTTCTAGGGATATGAAAAATATATTTTTAGATTATAAAAGAGAAATATTTCTTAAGATGTTTCTTAAAAATGTTTCTTAAAAAGGTTTCTTAAACATTTTTTAAAAATTTAGATGGAAATGTTGTAGATATTAGAATGAAAAACCAATAAACTAGTTATAGATCCCGAAATAAATAAAATTATGCGAAGAAAAGATTATTTTAGGAAAAAACTAGAAAACTTTCTCTGATTTCAAATCTTGTTGAATTCGTTGTTTACAAATTTCTTTGTCATTAATAATTATATTATGCTATTATTCAATCTGTAAACTAAGTAAGATGTTTTTATAAATGTTTATTCGCAGTTTCTGTGTGCATGCTCTTTTCCTCTATAACAGAAGTTTAATTTGTACTTAATATTTACTTTAATGTTTTAATTATGATTTTAATTACTCTTTTCCCTGTAATAATTTTTTTTTAATTTGGAGAAGCGGTACAAAGACAGAAATCTGAACTTCGTCAAAAATTTAGTCAGAATCAAGTACGTGTTAGATTTTGACTATTACCACGACATTTACGAATGGTTAAACTAATTTAAATTTTGACTTATGTTCTCTTTGATTTTTCACGTTTTCTAAAATCAGAATGTAATGTAAATTAAGAGTACGCAAAGAAGAGTTTAAAAACCAACAATGATTCAGTGCAATTCACGTGTTACTACTCGAGGAAGTATTTTGTTGTTTGTAATTGCTGGCGCCGGTGCAGCTACCTGTGTTGGAAATAATGTACTATTATTCGGAGGTCGCGTTGAGGGGGGGGGTAGTTCCGTTGCCTTCTCAATCACCGTGTAGAAAGTGTTCCAGATTTATAGTGGTTAGCTAAGGATGAAAACCAGATGTCTTATTTTAAAGGATTCGGTGTTTATATCTGTAGATTTCTTACGCAAATTGCCAACCTGCAGCCAGTTATTGTCAATAAAAGGTCGTTCGTTTACTCTTGAAAGTTTTCAACCAGGAATGATCGATTAAAGTTTTCAGGATTTGCATCTTTGCTTATGCAAATTCATTGATGTCAAAATGATATCTCGCCGATGTAATTCTTAGTGAATTATCGTTAGGTAAACATACGTTTAAGAAGATTGTAGTATTAGAATAAAATGTACTCCTCTGAGATTGGCCATGGCAACTTTGAACTTTACACCGATGTTTAAAACTTACAATTAGGATATTAAGCCATAATATGAATGCATCTTTGGGTTTCTAGGGACATTGCTGTCTAGGATTATATTTACCTAATGCAACAGGCGACGAAACGACGGCTGAAGAGGTGACACCGACGACAAACCGAAGGGCGATGAAGTAAACAAAGTCTGGAGCAATGGCAGTGACGACTCCAAAAAGGCACTGGACAGCCAGGAACGCGAAGAAACTCAACCTCCTCCCGTATCTAAAAAAAAGAACCAATTAGATTAAGAATTTTTTTTTGTTTATTTATTTAAATATCTTCAAAACTAAAAATAGACAGCACCAAATGAGTACTGATTTCTTTGGATTCTAATTCAGAACTGGATTTCTGCTAAATAATTTCTAATGACCACTGCTCGAGATAATCATAATTAAGATACTCCTTTTTCTTTGTTTCTAAAACATTTAATATAGATACGATTTTAATAAGATTTTATGTTCGTGCAAAAAAGAATCGAATGACGAAAAAGCATGAAGTTTTTTCGTCATTCGAAGAAAATTAGAGATGTCGAATCTCGAATACTTTTCACAATTCGCGGATTCGTATGTGCTATCTTCAAAAATAAAACTGGGAATACGGTGGGCATTCATTGCATTAACTGCTGTATTTGTATGTCATATATCCTCATATCTAAAAAGTAAATAACAAAGTGAGAAAGTAGATAAGAAAGGAATGTATTCAACTGGATTTTATTGAAACGTTTACAAGTCATTGTGTATATTAAGAGTCACTTTTATGGATAATGCGAAGGAAAGATCGAGAACTAGTCACAAAGCTTTCTGGTTGAGTCTGTCTATACCAAATTAAGATGACCTCTATGGAAAACACATGCCGACAACTTTATGCCTAGAATAAGATCATTTGTGGCAATATGAGTTACATGTATTTATTTATATAGCAGTCATATTCGTTGATCATAAAATTTTCGGGAGAATCATAGAGGTGATAAATGAGTTCCAAACATATGCTATACGTGTTTGATAGTATTTAAGTCGAATGATCTCAGCCACCGTTTTTTATATAGCAGAGCTTGTAGCGGTGCCTTTAATCAGTAGTGCGAGCTTGAATGCATTTTTCGTAAAAACTTGTGTTAAAACTGGCATGAAGGCCCATGGTGGCAAGGTATGCTTGAGCATATCGAGCAAGGAATCCTGTGCTGCTCTGCATTCAACTTAAACGGCATGCTATTCAGATCAGTGGGGCAAATGACAATTATCTCTGTCCAAACAATCAAAATGTAAACATTTTACTTAAATGTTACGTAGATTACGTAGATGTTACGCAGATTTTTGATAAATATTTACAAGCTTTCTTCTGATACGAAATCTTCGGAAGTTAGTTATAGACCAAATCATGACTTAACGCGCAGAGTATACTATTTTTGTGGTGTCAGCTGAAGTGAATTCGATATCAGTTTAAAGTGTATCCTTCTGTGCGAGGGACGCAAATCACTGATAAACTTACATACAGGTGATTTGTATATAACCGTCTTCGTTCTTCATGTTGATATTGTACGGTCAGAAGCCTTTTGATATGCATTTACTGACCTGTGTCGTCGTGCTTTTAGACGCAGAAAACTATCACCAAAAGGGATTGTAATTTTTAGATGTTCACATACTCATCTCTGTGACACATCTGTTTTACTTTAACAAGTGTCCATAAAACGTACATGACGTAATTATTAATATTTAAGATTTTAGCTGAATCCAGTTGTTGCCGCCAGTTGTGACTCCAAGATACACTGTTACCACTCGTCACCTGGCATCCTGCTAGTCCATTCCATCTGCTCCTTTTTCAATATTCAGCTGTTTCGAATTTTCTCGTGAATTCCAAAACGTAGGCTTTTCTCAAGTCTAACAAGTTTCCTTTCCAAAAATTCTGTTATACAAATTTTCCCTTTAATTAAACTAGTTTTCGAGTGCGTGCGTACATCTGTTTATATATGAAAATTTTATGGTTATATATTGTTTTCTTGGTCAAATAGGTAAATCTTTTAATTTTTAAGATTATTGCTTTAGACGTTAGTTTTTTTTCCTCTTTTTACTTTGGATGTGTTGAAAATTTGTTAGTGAAGTAAAATGGTACGTTTATCCCAAGGGGGCGTTAGGCCCATGGACTGTTAGTCTGAAAACGGCATTTTGCGTCGTTTTACTTTCTCCGCTGATTCACTTTTCGAACTATTGTCACCAAATATTATCACCATGTATTATATTTAAAGAAACTAAATAATGAAGAATCTGCATGAACGTATGAATGTATCTCGCATTGTGACAAGAAGTACGCTCTTGTATATTTAAACTGTATATTACGCTTAAGCATTGTTTTTTTTTTTTAATATTACATACTGAAATGGTAAAATGCGGTTTTGATTTTCACTTTCAGTACTTTCATCCATGTCAGAATTTTGCATTTCTTATAGTTGTATCAACCAGTTTTAAAAATGAAATGAATTAAACTTTTCATAATTATCATAAACGGGGATTCATTATTAAAAGTCTGATAATTTATGAAAATTATTAGTGATATTCTGCGTCAATTTCCTTATTCTGATTTAAAATAGAGGCACACATGTGAAATAAATGCACCTTACAATTATCTGGATTTTTTCCCAACCAAGTATTTTTCCTCAAGCAGTTTTAGTTTTTAACATGTAGTACGTATATTGCGCAGGATATCATTACTCATACATTAGAGCCAGTTGTTCTAATTTAGGAATTATTAAATAAACAGTATTGCACATCTATTCGATTATACAGTAAATTTAACAATTAAAAATGTAAATAAGACTTGAAGGAAAATTCATAGAGTCACTAAAGCTTAGATTTGAATACAAGAATATCAAGTTCAGTAACGCTCCATTGTTTATGATGCCAATGGCATGGCTGTTCCAAGTATCAGTCTGGAATCAGATTTATTGAAACATGCACGAATTATTATTGTTTTTGCATTTACTGCATAAAAATAGTGAAAGTATTAAAATTAAAATTATTTTTGAGTTATTTTGATATTATTCATATCAAAAGATTTAGTTTTATAAATCAGCATCAAAATACATTACTTCTAATACGCATAATATGTGTTATAATATGTATAATTATGTATGTAATAATTATTTTTAATATGTGTAATATTGTTCATATCATCTAAAGATTTACTTATATATATAAATTAGCATCAACGTACATTAATTTTTATTTTAGAAAAAACACAAAATACTTATATGAACTCTCATAACTTTTATTTCATCTTTTTTAAAACCAAAATTTCTATAAAGGCTATGATTGTAACTTGAAGTTTCAAGATTTCAAATTTTAAACATTTTTGATTTAATTTATTTTACGTATTCACTTTTGAAGCAGCTTGTGGCGGGCTTTACAACGTAGTTTTATATTACAGACTGTGGCATGTAAGCAATTTATAAAGTTATGAAAGACAATGGATTGTCTTCCCCAAGCCTACATTTTAAGACATTTTGTTTTACTCTTTAAGTAAAAAGGTAAACGTACAGGGGTATAAGAATTACGTCTGAACATCTGTAATGGAAGTTATAGTTTCTGGAAAACTAAATATGAGATTTTTCAAGTTGTATATAAAGAAAGAAATTTGAGTAACATATTAGCTAACCACTCACTGTAGCTAAAATATTGGGAAACATATATAAAGACACAGAGGAAGTTCCAAAATAACATTTACACTCTTGAGTACTGAGTTACTACTAATAAAAAGCATTGCTATTTTTAAAATCACCAATGTTGAAATTTTAAATGGTCATATTTAATGGACATTTACAGCAATACTCATCCAGAAACTACAGAAAACATAGACTAAAGAGAGGATGACATTTCAGTAGGAAGTGAAGCTTAGTTAGTCTATGTAAATCATTCCATGCCCGTGGCCTTGTGTTAGGCTCATTAAAAGCACGTAACAGTGTTCTCATATTTCATCCAATTTCCTCTCTTGTTTCCAGCATCATTTTCTTATCAGATCATACATAGTTCCATCTTCCTCTGGTGTGTCATGTCATTGATATGTTACTGTGACTCTGATTAACATTGTCTTTATACCTATTAATATATTCTCAGTTTTCCGATAACATTTTCAAACTCGCTTATATTGCTTGAAATGAGACATGATTATGTTTGCTATGTAGTGCATATTTATGCCTGCCCTGTGGTGGACTGTGACGGCGTAGAGCTACTAAGTTATTCTCAGCAGGAAACACGAAATGTCAGCTATTCCCTCACCAGAATTCGAACTCCAGGGTCTATGACTATTAGCTGAACAGGCTTCCACCTACACCGCGACAGAACGATATGTGTAAGGAAAAAATTTCCTACTACTCTCCATCTCCATATTTAGTTGATGTTCTCCCACTGTAGACCTGTTAGTTTATTTGGGGTAAGAAATGCAAATTATCATCTGTGCGGTCACCGAGATTCAAACTCTGAATTTTTCGACTACTAACAGGATATACTACTATTTACAGTACAAGAGCACGCAGTGGGGAAGGCGAAAATTCCTTATAACAGAACTATAAACAACAGAATGAATGCTTTTACGCATTTACACGAACATTTAACACAGATATTGCAGCTTGAAACATGAAATGCCCACTCGTGTCTTTTTAACATATTATCTGTTATTTGAGCTAAAAAAGCGGTAAATATTCACAAACAACGTAATTTAGAACTCTTGCGTATACGCAATACAACTCATTCTAAAAATATTAATATTATTCTTAAAAACTATTGACATAAAATTCTGAGTTTTTCGTCTCAAATTTACTTCTATTGAGAAAAAACATTGTCTAAGAATGTTAAATAAATTAGTTACTTACCTGTTCATAACTAATATATACAACCACTGACCGATGAAAGCTCCCGTGAAAAATATAGTTAAGGCTAGCGATGGCAGCCAGGCTGAATCACACACAAGATTCCACTAGAAAAAAAAAAGAAAAAAAAAAAGAAGAATGAATTAAAATTTTTCTAATAGTACAATCACAAATTTCTTCATTATTTAAAACAACCGGACTTTTTAATAACCACTTTGTATAGAGCATTCTAAAGATTCTGTGATGAGCAGGCCTTATAAAAATATATTAATATTTATTATTACCATACCTTTTCAGTTTACGTATTAAGTACATCATACTGTATTTTGCAACTTTCTGCTTCAAACGAGCTTTGAATCAGATGCCTAAAAGGTATATATCAAAGGCATTCGTAATCCCAAGAAAGCCATGTTATTGA